TGGCCACATTGTCACATGGTCCAGTGACTTCTGAACCCAACACAAGAACACGCTTAATTTGAGAAAGTGGGCTCAGAGCAGTCAGGCTTCCCGAACACGGAGCTGTGAATAAAACACTGATGCAAGGATTTTTTTTTTTTGTAACTGCCTCTGACAGATGTGCTGCTAATCTGATTTTAAATGAGGGAGAAGGAGAGAGCGAGAGAGAGAGAGAAGACAGAGAGTAAGATGAACACTTGATGTTTGTCTTGACTTTCATCCACAAACAGTAAGGCCATTTTTAACACAGCACTTATATGTTTTCTAAGGATATTTCACAGTTTTCCCAGGGACTTCTCAGGAATGGCTTTCCAAGAACGTTTCCTTCATGAAATTCCATTGTTGTCCTTTAGATGTTGGTTTCTTCTCAATTTTGCTCTCTGTCCCAAAATGACCGAATAATAATTAAGTGCAGACTCATCAAAGTCACAAAAGATTATTGACCCAAACAAACCATTTACTTCAACATGTACAATTGATTATATAAAGCAGTTAAAAATAGGCATTGATGCTTAGAACACTGTATCCCAAATACTGAGTTGCGACCCTCAGATGGGTCGCAAGAGATTTTTGTTTTGGGTCGTCTCGCATCATGTTTCCCAGGAGTTTACGAATAATGTCTATTGACTTGGGTTGCGAAGGTTTGTGACTTAAAAAATATTGGTACCCAGAAATAAAGTTTGGGAAACACTGCTGCCTAGAACACCAAGACAGCCCAGGTCTAATTCTTAACTGCTCAGCTTAAAATGGCCTGAAGGACTGAATGACCTACAAAGATATTTAATTATACAACAATCTCAAAAGCTCACATCTCACATCAATGATCAATTTCAATTTTGTTTTCCATGACGTCCTCCCATTGGCCAAAGCCCACTGATGTTATAAACCCAAACTCTCTCATGCTCATGTTATCATGTTAGCAGACACTCATCTCTTTTCTCATTAGCTGCCGTGTGTGTGCGTCTGCTTTCTTCAGACTAGAATTACACAGAAATTCACTGTGGTGATACCAAGCATTTGTATTTTTCAAATAAGATTTGCTTTGGTTTTAAAGTATGGTTTAGTACACAAACCAAAACCAACTTAAAATTAAATTATTGAACCCTTTTCTTAAAGACATGGACTTTCTGACCGAGGTTAAAGCATCAGGCTTGTAACTTTGATCTGCTGGTTCAGGACTGTGGTGTGTCAGGCAGGCATTAAAATTCCAAAGTAGAATTGCAGCCCACTGCTCCTGTGTGTCCAGTGTTAATCATTGGGGTGATAAATGGTTGGGTTAAATTGAACTGTTTTGAATTAAACCCAACTGGAAACAGAAATGGAGAACAGGGTTTGTCCTGTAGTCCATACTCACTGAGACACATGTTCTCTTATCGGGTGGGCTCCCCTAAAAATCTATAAATATGGAAAATATATAAATATTTATTTCATCATTTAAGTAGTTTCTTAATGAAGTATGACCTTCTAATAAATAAATAAATAAACGTCTGTCTGTCTGATGTTTCTCATAACCCAAGGTTCATTAGCAGTCGTCTGTCCAGCAGGAGGAGACAGAGCCTCAGTATTTACTGACAAATGCTCCATGGACTTTCAGCCAATGTCTGCACCATCATATCCTGTTTAAAATGATTTTACATTATTATTTAAATTTAGTACTTAAAAAAGTTAAGTAAGCAATGTCTTGTTAGTCTGTAATATCTAATGAATAAAATCAAAGGAGCCTGATTTTTATTTTTAAATTTCGTAACAAAACTAATTCTAACCCATTTTTTTGGGTCAGTCAAGCAAGTAGTAGTAGTAGTAGTAGTAGCAAGTAGTAGTAGTAGTAAGATTAAAAAATTAGAAAGCAGAGACAGTCAAGCAAGTAGTAGTAGTAAGATTAAAAAATTAGTAAGTAAGACCAAAAATTAATAAAGTTATTTAATAATTATTAAAAAAAGTTTAGGAAAAGCATGTCAAATGAATGAATTTATTAAAAATAAATAAATAAAATAAATAAATAATAAAAAAAACTAACCAGAGGTTAAACTAAATAAATTCAACATTCAGTATTATAAACTGACTGCTGTAAATAAATAAAAAACTAACCAGTAGCCAAAAAGATCACTAGAATCTGACCCAGGAACAGCTAAAAGCATAGAGTGCACCTGTCATATGTTTTTTTTATCCTGATGGTTAACAATAAAATATTTTATAGGAATCAAAACGTTTTAATGAATATATTTTAATACCTCTGAGGTTTTCCTGGAGAGTTTGACCCTTTCATAATGCTACTATGCTGTCAGCCTGTGTCAGGCCTGGCCTGGTTCCACCACGGCGAGCCGTGGGGGTGACTGGTGACTGATGTGGCCTTTATCTGTTACCACTCCCTTCAGAGATTGATGAATTGATTGTGCGGCTGCTGCCAGTGTGTCTGTGCCCTGGGCGAAGGCGTCCCGGATACGGGTGGGAATCCCAGCTATGGCATCCGCCCTGGGGCTGCTATTGTAGCTGTCCTGCAGGGGGCCCTGGGGGCTGGTGGCCCGGGAGCAGCTCTGACCCACATACTGCTGTCACACCCCTGGAGACACAGCAGCACTTTCCCCTACCGGGACCTCTGATTGGCTCCGATAAAATGACCCTGGCTGAAGTGCAGCTATTCCACAGGGAAACTACCTGATTGAACCAAACCTCTCACGATGACAGCAGCTAAAGGCCAAAAGAGAAAGGTAACATTCATCCAGTGTTTCAACCTACTGTATTTGACTCCCCCCGACCCCCTCCTCTATCCCCAGCTATGGACTGTATGGATCAGGGTCAAAGATTAGCTGAGACTCAGGGCAAAATCCCCAACAAACTATGTCAATTAGCCCCTAAAAATCTCATAAAGTGGTCTTTTATTGCCCCAGTAGTTAGCCATTTACAGCCTGAGAGGAAAACGTCCTGCTATGCACTTGTACCACACACAATCCAAATGTGTATGACCTGTTTTTTACGAAAAATAAATAGCGAGCTAAGTAAGCCAAAAATGTGAGATTACAGATTATATCAACAACAACAATGTTTCCAATATAGCAATATTTAACTTTTTTAAGCAAAAAGGCTCAAAAGCCTAAAAAAAATATTATAATGAGAAATATATAGAATATAAATATTCTGTTAAACCAAATCCCCTATTACCAAAGTTAGTAAACATCTGCCATGAAACACTGCTCCACTGAAGCAGTAGAATTCTGGACATTTAATGACTAGCAGCTAACAGCTAATGCTATAGTCTGCCCAAAAATCATCATAAAAGATAATGATCAGGAGAAGGTTAAAAAAATATTTTGAACCATCAAACATTGCAGTGAAGCCAGGCACAAGATAGTTGTGAAGAAATGACACAGCAGTAACAGTACTGAGAACTGGACGTCCTTCCAAAACTGATGAAAAGACAAGTTGAATCCTGGTCAAAGATGCTGCAAAGAGAAGAGCTGCTCCAACAGCAGGAAGTTCATGAAGGTGCTGGTTGACAAGTGCAAGAAAGAAGTTGAACTTACTGAGAAAAAAAAACATTCAATATTTCCTGTGCCTCGTTCAACCTGGTTGCATTCACTCACAATCAAGGGAGAAGCAACAAGAAATAATAATGTTTTCATGACTGAAAAATTGGACATTTATGTTCTTGGTTTTCAAGGACACATGTGGACGCTGTATACTGTATCACACGTGATCCAACAGCACTTCCAGTTCTCTCCCCAATTAGCATGAAGTACATTATATACTAATGTGTGCCAGATATTAGATAGTAATAGTAATAAAACCCAGTCACTACCTCAGTCTGAGATAACAGGCTCTCACTCACTGTGTTAATCATTTTTTATTACAGATCTTTTACAGAATTAACATGCCTTATGATGCAGTAGTGTTTTTCATCCTCTCTCCGTTTACTTATATTTGTAACTGTGTGACTAACGGACACTCAAAAAGAGAACTGCCTGACTCTACAGTAGATAGCAAAAGAGGAAGGAAATGACTAAAGTCAACAGTTGTCCATTTTGATCCAAAATAAATAAATAATCCATTCATAAATACAGGAATAAATAAATAAATAATCAGACCTTACACTTTTGTACAGCAATAATGCATTTAGAGTTAATTTCTTTTTTTTTTGTGCAACGTGGTACACAGGTCAACACAAGAGAACACGTACGGTAAGTATAATGTCACTCCAATTAGGGATGAATCAACCAATAAGACAAGCGATACTTCATGACAGAAACAGTGCAGCTGCTCGCACAAAGTGACTTCAAAAAGAACACCACATTCAGAAACCCTGTCAGCTGTGGAATATTGCCGATCACATGCTCTGCTGCATCACTCTGCCAATCGCTCACAGGCCAATAGCAGCGTTGTGGTTTTTTTTTTTCCTTCAGCCACAGAGCGGGCACAGTGTGCATCCTGTCTCGTCAGCATCAGCCCAGCTCCACACCTCACTGATGACAGACGAGCCTTTTTTTTAAAACCCTCGCTGAGCCCCAACAAGTCGTCTAAGAACAAATCTTTATTTACAGCAGCGGCCTGTAAGCCCACGAGCCAGTACTGGAACATCTCCATGCAAATTGGGAAGCAGTTCTATACATTGATATGGAGGCTTTATTTTTCACCAGCTGCCATAGCAGTAACTGCAAATTTCAATAAAGGGAACTTCATTTTAAACTTATTATACAGGTCAATAAATAAAAGTTAAACGCTGTAAGAAAATAAATATAACTGATAACAAAGTAATATTTTTAAGACAATCGAATACATCCAATTCGGTGTTGGAAAAAAACAGGAAAAGATAACACAATGTTCTAATTAAAATCTAAAGTATATGAAAAGATAATGCACAATGTTCTAATTAAAATCTAAAGTAAGCTCTGAAGTGCATGATGCGGCAGGGAAGTGATGACTGTATATTTGTCGGAGCTTGTTGTATTTTCATTTAGTGTTCCGTGTTAATATTACTTCAGCCTACTCTATTGAGACGATCCTAACTTACATTAAGTATCTGAGGAATGATTGATCTACCGTTAAAAGTCAAGACTTTTCACATTTTCCTAACTTAAAAATAATGCATAAAAGAGTGAGTTTGAAGGCCTTAGACTGCAAAACAGTGGAAATACATAAGCCTTCACAGAAACATTTTACTAATACATCCCAACATTTATGTATTCAGCTTATATAATTTAAATCGTTTAGGTCAACGTCAACCACCATAAAACAATTAAAAACTCACTGCAGATCTAAACAAATTGAAATAATGAAAGTAAGGGGAAAAATGGGGATATCTGTGTGTGTGGGGGGAGGGGGGGGAGAAAGCCATTGAGAGTCACCCCCTGGGAGCTTTTCAGCACTGCCTCTCCATGTAAACACAATGGATCCTCTATGACCACTACCTGGAGTTGGCACCCAGGCTCTTCCCCACTCTGTTGACTTGACCCTTCACTTTTTGTTCTTCAGCTGATTGGCCAGCCAGTCCAGGCCCTCGTAGAGACCGTCCCCACTGGTGGCACAGGTGGCCTGGATGTACCAGTTACGGTGGCGCAGGGAATGCAGGCCTAGCTTGTCTGTGATTTCAGCTGCGTTCATGGCATTAGGGAGGTCCTGAAAAAAAAAAAAAAGTTCAGTGTGTATAAATCAATAAAAGAAAAGCAGATGGAAATATCACTCTTTAATAACAAATGTGACCTTTCCATACGTACAGTAAATAAAAATACAGAATGCAATATACTCTATATTTTTCTTCTTATGAAATAGCAACAGAAGAAAAACGATAAATAACATTTTTCACATACTTTTTTATATATATATATAAAAATATAAATATAAATATATATATATATAGCTTGCAAGGAACCTTTGAATCCATACCTGTTTGTTAGCAAAGACTAGAAGAACGGCATCTCGCAGCTCATCCTCAGCCAACATGCGCATCAGTTCTTCCCGGGCTTCGTTCACTCGCTCGCGGTCGTTGCTGTCCACCACAAAGATCAAGCCTGAGGCAAATGATCAAAGTATTTAAGGACTGCTTAAATGTCACTGCTATGCCAGACCTAATCACGTTTAACTTATTTTTTTAAAACAACAACTTGCAAACATCATTTAGTTAAAAAACAAAATAGATTAATCAAGTTCTTTTCATTGTTGATCTTTTCCACATGACTCAGATAATAATAATTTGAAAGAGCTGGAGACCTTCTGCCGATGACCTCATCTGAGGCAGATGTGCTCTCAGACGGAGGGGGAGATTATAGTTCAGGATCTGCAACAGGGCTGCAGATGCCTTATTACCATTTCTGACCACTGCATCATCTAAAGAGCTGCTGGTCTGGCTCACCCTGGGTGTTCTGAAAGTAGTGCCTCCACAGGGGACGGATTTTGTCCTGGCCACCCACATCCCATACAGTGAAGCTGATGTTCTTGTACTCCACTGTCTCTACGTTGAAACCTGCACAAAGACACGTAGTGAGGCGAACCATCGCAAAGACAGATATTTGATGCAAAGCTGTCAGCACTGAATTTGTTCTTCACACACCTATTGTGGGGATGGTGGTGACAATCTCTCCCAGCTTGAGCTTGTAGAGAATGGTGGTTTTACCAGCAGCGTCTAGCCCCACCATGAGGATTCGCATTTCTTTCTTGCCTATGAGGCTCTTCAGTATGTTCCCAAAGATGTTTCCCATGATGACAGGTGTTTCTAACTCCGACTGCAACAGAACAAAACCACAACAGGCTTAAAGTCAATTTCTCAAACATATGGTTTAGAAGGCTCAGAAAACCACCAACCACTTTTTTATGGCCTACAGCCACCTCAGAAGAACAGCTAGTTAAGGCTTGCTTCACACCTCAGCAAGCAGCTGATCTGAGTTACACAGGCTTTGACAGCTCACCACCATACTGGATCTCTGTGGTGTGGATCATCTTTCAAGTGGTGCAGAGTAACCACCTCGTGTGCTGTCTGCTGACATTTAAACAATCACTATAGTGTAACAATAATCTAGCTTTAATGGTATCAGGGAGGCTGCTGAAAATTCAAATGATTTTTCTCACAAAATCACCTGCTCACTTGGTCCAATAGAGGAAAAATAATAAAATGTTCCCTTATTAATAATATTACAATAATCAGTCTGAACAATCTGATTTTTACTTTTTAGAAATAAGTTTTCCACTATTATATTCCACTTTTATTTGCAAAATTTTATTTAGTCGTTTCCTCACAACCATTTTGCACCTTAACATTATATTATAAAAATAAACTGCATGTTTTTTTTAATGACTGAGAAGTCATGTTTAGTAAGAAGCCATAATACAAAGTTGAAAAAGATGTTGCAATGCACTTGATATAATATTTTGAGTGTTTTAAAAGGAACTATTCCACAGCTGAGCTGTGCCAAATGGCAGGGTCACTTGACAAGGCTTACAGTATTGTCATCAAATGAATTGAAGTCTCAGCTAGATTGTGTTGAGTCTTATATTAACCGAATTAGCCTGACTCTGCTCCAGAGAGGCTGCAATGTCACAGATAAGCTCCGTGTTCATTCATTTACATCAGCTGATGCTACAGCAGTTAGCATGTAGCCTGGTCCAGCTGCAGTGGCCGTGCAACCGTGTACATCATACTGTCAGAATGAGGACAAGAGCTGCTGCTAATGCTGCTGCCATTTTTACAGTCACACTACCTGCTAATGGCTAAGTGATAACACCACCAGAGCGTAGAAAAGGGCGCGTTCAAATCTGTTAACTGAACCTTTTGTTGTTGTTTTTTTCATCTCTAGGTCAATTTCTGTGCAGTAACCCTCGCTGTATAGTCACGACAAGCGGCCTAATGTCGAGTCACGGCCGTTCAAGTAAAACGACGATACGTACCGTTAAAAACGACAGCGGGCTCTACGATAACCACGGATTCTCTGTTATATTTGTCGTAATATCTGTTGTTATTTTGTATGTGACTCACACTTACCCTGTTAACGGCAAGTAGCGCTATCAGCTGGAGTCAGCGACAGCAGCAGCAGGAAGGACCGGATGGTAGTCTCGCGATGAATTGCTCATGTGCTGCTGTTTGGTGAGCTCTCGCGATACTTGTTTTGTCAAGCATCCCTCTCGCGTTTCTATGCGTTTCATGGATGACTTGACAGAACACTGGAGCTGCACTGCTGCTGCAGGGAAACCGTATTTACCTTTGCTGTTATTAAACGTGTTAAATAATAATATAAAATACACCATTTCAGTCACACGTGCAGCACGTGTTCAAACGTTAATTACCTGTTGTTCTACAGGCACATGCCAGGCAAATCTGGCTGAATAATTAAAACGGGAATCATCTTAATGAATAAGTGAGAGGCTTCTGCCTGTAATAGGATGCTGAGTGATACTTCCTGCATGGCAGCACACCTTCAGCGTGTCACAGTCAGGTGACACAATGTACTAAGCAAACAAAAGCTGATTTTATATTCTGGCACTGCATTTATAATAGGAAAATATTTTCCATGAAATATTATAAGTAAATGGATTCAAAATACCATATATATATATAATATATACATATTATACATATATATGCATACACCTATAGTTGTACATTAATACACCTTACTTGCATGTGTACTGCAGATATAAATCTTGAATAGGTAAATTCAGATTAGAGAGTTAAGTGTATTGTGTTTACTGCATTAGTAGATCCACTCCTGAGGGGTACACGTGCCCTCATGAAAAACAGTAAAATTATGTTCCAATTAAAAAAGTAATTTTTTTAAGGCCAACAAAGTACACGGGAAAGATGAGGTAAGTTTACTCCATACTCTTTTGCTTTGTTGAAGCATGTTTTAATCTCTCAGCATTCAGTCCCTTAGGGTAGGATTCTGTCAAGACTGTCATCTCAACGTGTAAAGTTGTGAAGACTCGTCCACATCAGTCAATTGGCAATGATATCTCCTGTGAAACCCTCATCTGTCAGCAGGTTATTTTGGTTCTGGACTTGGTTATGGCTTTCCGTTGTTGTCCTGCCGAAATGTGAAATTCCTTTTTCACCTTAAGCTTCATAGCAGGTTTCTAAATTGATAGTCAGAGATATGTACAGTTGCCATTTGGGGCTGGAACTCAGGAAAACAGTCTAAATCAGGGGTGTCAAACATACGGGCAAAATAAAATGACAAATACAATCTTAGAACTTAATTTGAAGTTAATCAGATCAACAATCAGATTGTTTGATTTATCTTAAGCACAGGTTTAAATGTCATTTGTCAGATTTAAATACACTCATGTCACAGATGAGGATGGTGTGTTTATAAGTAACTTTTCATTCTTTTAGTCTTTTGTTCAATGGGTAAATTTAAGTTCGATTTAAAAAAAGATATTTTGATGCAATAAAAAAAACATAATCTCAAGATAATTTAAGACTGATCATTTAGACAGTTAGAAATGTCACCCAACACATAAAACACTCTGAGTATATGAACCACGTGTGACCAGCGCCGTGCATAGGAAGCACAGGTGAATTCAATATTTGTCTGTTCCATTTCAGTCAGTGGTCTGGTAATAGATTTCTCTGGTGACGGCAGAGGGGCAAGGAGGGGAGCAGATGTTTGCAGCTGCAGACCAGATTACGGGGTGGAGTGGATGGTGGGGGAGCCTTCCGAGGTTGTGTGCACAGAGAGTTTTGAGAGGGTTACAGCGGGCTGGGGTGGTGGCGGTAGAGGTGGGGTGGAGAGTAATGACTTAAAGGAGCCTTTTCCTCTGAAGTGTGTGCCAACGTGCACCCCAGCAAACACAATCACAAGTCTGGTTGGTTCTGCTAGCTGAACTAATGAGGGCCTGCGCGTTGAGGGCAGGGGCTTTGATGTTCTGGGTAGCTGGCTCCTTGTGTTTTCTCTCCCGCTCTCCTTCTCTGCCTGTCCCACATCAAAAATGAAAGAGGAGTTGAGAAGCAGATGTTTTGAGGCATGTATTTATACAGAGTACACTTTATTCACCCCCCCTCCTCCCCGCCGCCCCCC